GCCGCCGCAGGTGCCCACAGCCCAGCTTGCTGAGGAGGGACCCTGCGCCAGGGATGCTGGGGACCCCTGCTGTTCCCCTGCCACCAGTCTTGGCCGCATGCAGACTGCCCCCACAACCCCTCTGCCAGTCATGGGGAGCTGTGAGGAAGGATGCTTTGCTCTCACCTTCTTCCCTTGAGTTGGGGTCCTGCCGCTTCATTGCGAACATGGTGCACGTTGATGGCGAGCGCTTGGAGAGCCTCTGCCCCAGCAGTGCCGGGGTTTCTCCTCCAGACACTCTTCTGCCAAGCCTGAGGGAGCAGCGGGATGCGGGTGAGCTTGCCACACAGGCCTCAGAGCCCCGAGGTGTGAGCCTCCCCTCCTCCCTCAGCAGACCCCGGCAAGCCTCTTCCTCCCTTGCCCTCTCCTCACCTCACCAGGTCGCACTGATTCACGGCCGGATCCCAGCAGCCCTTTATCCAGGCCTTGGCGGTGGGTCACAGTGACTGCTGTGACATCGCCACCACCCGTCTGTGTGTGCCCCCAGTACGGGCAGGGGTGCCCTCAGCTACCTGCCACCCTCTGTGACACGGCCACCGCCTCACGGGGGAGGGTCTGAAGTGCCAAGGCCGGGGCCGAGGCCTTGGCACCCAAGTCGGGGGGGAGGCTGCTCTTGCACCCGTGCGGGGCTGCAATGCTGGCACGGGTTGCCCAGAGAGGCCGTGCAGTCTCCAGCCTTGGAGACAGGCCCAACCGGGCTGGATACGGGTGTGGGCAGCCTGCTCCAGGGAATCCTACTTGAGCAGGCGCTTGGACTAGATGGTCTCCAGAGGTGCCCTCCAACTCAGTCATTCTGGGAGGCTGTGAAAGATGGCCTTGCACGTATTGGGAGGGGCCTTGTAGATTGCAGACCTAAAGTGGCAATCACAGGAAGGGGACCGTGGCTAACTGCGTGGGGATGTAGACAGCACTAAGAGTGGGGACTAGGAGGTACCAAGCAAGGGGGTGGGGACCTTGAAAAGTTTAGGATCTGGGGACACTGCACGTGTGTGGCAGGGTGACACCAAGCACAGAGATGGGGACCTCACTGAGGGTGGAATCGGTGACAGCACTGAGCGTGTGCACTCGTTTTGTATGGGATAGAGTTAACTTTCTTCACAGTAGCTTGTATGGTGCCGCCGTTTGGATCTGTGACCAGAATAGTGTTGATGACACACCAATGGTTTAGCTATGGCTGAACAGTTCATACACAAGTGTCAAGGCCTTTTCCGGTATCGCACACAGGCCCACCAGCAAGTAGGCTGGGGGTGCACGAGATGCTGGGAGGGGACACAGCTGGGGCAGCTGACCCCAAATGACCAAAATAATATTCCATATCTTACGATGTCTGCTCAGCAATAAAATTGCAAGCGGTTGTTGCTCCCAGACTGGCTAGGCATTGGTCGGCTGGTAGTGAGCAAGTGGGGCTTTTTGCAGGACTTGTTTTCTTTGTTTTGCTTTGTTTTGTTTTCATCTCAAGCCATGAGGTTTTGCATTTTTACCCTTCTGATTCCCTCCTCCATTCCACTGCGGGGGGGGAGTGACTGAGCGGCTGCAAGGGGCTTGGCTGCCTACCGGGCTTAAACCATACCAGCGTGGGACATGGGTGCTGCTGAGCATGGGGCTGGGGACATCACCGAATGGGACGCAAGGGTCAAGCTGAAGGCCCAGCTAGAGCATGGAGGCCAGGGCCAAGCCTGTGGCCAGGGCCAGAGCCAAGCACAGGGATGGCGACAGCACTGACACTGGGGTGGGAAGGGTGCCAAGCGTGGTGGAGGGCTATGGCTCAGCATGGTGACAGTGACAGTGCTGAGTATGGGGGCAGGTACAGCGCTGAGCACTGGAGGGCTCCTTTAAAACAAACTGTAGTAGGACCTGGGCAGGTTCCCGGACATCTGACTTTCAGACCTGTTCGTGTTCCCTTTAGCCCTAACGGTCTAGTGTTACTGAGACATCAGGCACCCAGGCTCAGAGATGACCCTGAAAAAGTAGTCCAGACCATCTGGGTCATCCTCAGAGCACATGACACAACTTGGGCAGATGTCCAACAATTATTTGAACCAGTGATTACCCCAGATAAGTGTAGATGAGTAAAGTGAGGGAGTGTCAGCAAGAGTCGACAGAGCACCCATCCGATTGCAATGTTCAATTAGCTACACAAATGAGCATGTACGGCGGGATCCTCCCTGGAAATCCTGACAATCTGTCATTGCTTGTTTCCCTTTTTGTCGACCAATCGGCTCCTGACCTCCAAAACTATTCTTCTAAGCATGCTCCGGGATGGCAAGGGATTAAATTGTTAGTCTAGCAGCTTTTGTCTTTAAAGGTAAGAAAGATAATCAGGAGAAATTGAGGAGGGAGGGCCAAGGGCAAGGATGCCATAAACCACAAGGACTTTTTTCCCCTGAAATTCCCCGACCCAATTGCTGCAACTTTGTAAGGGACCGTCAGTTGTACTGTCTCAACATTGCTGGAGACGACCGCGCCTGCCGCTACTCCGCTGCCAGATAACCACAAGTCCTGCTACTGCGTTGTTATCGGTTGAGGGAGGCCTGTCCAGAGAAGCGACACCCAACCAGCACGCATGAACCTGGGCCCGGGGTCTGAAAGACAGAGGGGCACAAAGACCCCCGAAGACCACCGAAGACCCCCTAGAGACGGCACTGGGCATGCGTACCATGGCCGGGTGACGGGTAGGGTTGTTCATGACGGACGTCATGGGTGGACAGGATAAAGCGGAGAAACCATCAGCGGCGAGGGCAGCTTTTGACTTTCCTTTCTGTTGCTTCTTCGCGCACGGCAGGTGCAGCTCTCACCCGCCTTTTTGCTGTTTCTGCATCACTGTCGGACTCTTGCTTCTCCTTTTTGTTGCTTCTACTTTGCTCGG